GGTTCCCCCCCCCCCCCCCGAGAGCCCACGCGTACATTGATACGCGATTATTGAATACATTATTAATTCGCGGATAGATAATACATTATTGTCGCGGCGAACCGCGGATCGACCGGCGCGCCGATAACCCCGAGACACCGTAAACGTATCGGAATTTCAAACTTTCGGAGGCGCGGCGACGTCAAACGATTGTCGTAAACGGTTTTCAAACGCGCGCGGTCTCGGTAGCGTTATTTCGTTTTGTTTTTTTTTTCTGTTTTTCTACCGTATATTCACAATATTTCAACGCGAGTTCGAAATCGAAATCGCGCCGTGATAAACCGTAAATTATCGCGATAAAATTAATAATATATATATTTTTTTTTTTTTTTTTTTAAAACGATTTATCGGCAATATAACAAATTATAATATTATGCGTATGTAAAAATAGGACCGTATATTATGTGATCGGGAAAAACGACGCGTTTTTTTTTTTCTCACGTAATTTTCCGCTCGACAAACGAAAAGTTTAGCACGATTGTTACAATATTATAGCCCGCGTATGTACTGTCGGCGCGGTATACATAACACAATAATAAAAAGTTTTTCGGAAATACGATTTTCAGGCGACGGACGGGCTTATCGTTTCGGATTTTTTTTTTTTAATAATAATTCGAAAACGATACCGCACAGTTTCGCGAACGGTATAGCGAATAATTTCAAAAGTTTTTTCATATCATCCCGTATTATAAACGCGTATTATCGTTTAGCACGGCGCTTTTTCTGTGATTTTTTTGTTTTTACGCCACCGCTGATCTACCGTATCGTATCGTCCTGCCGTGTGCTGTTATACGCGTATAATACCGCAGTGTTTTCGCGACGTTCCAATCGTCTGCGGGTTGGTTTTGCCGAGTTTTCCCCGTGTTCGTAGCGCGCCATCGCGAGCCGATGTCCGCGGGCTCTTCGTCATTTCCCGTCGATACGATTCGGCCGTCCCGCCCGTGACCGGGCCGCGTGTAAAAAGCCCGAAAACCGAACCAACGACAGATAATAACTGTTATTATATTGTTAACGGACGCGGCGAATATTTCGCGACAATAGTCCCCGGGCAAATAATAACAATCGAAACCCGGGTGCGCGTTTGTGTACGATGCGAGGACTGCGGCGGGTCACAATAAGCCGCTTATCGTTAGAGAAAAATTGTTTTCGAAAAAAATCGTTACAATATTAATATAGTTATCGGTAACGCGCCGCGTAAAAATCGTGAAATTATAATGCCGGCCGGACTTTGCGTCGAAAAATAAAAAAAAAAAAAAAAAATGAACCAATATTGTATGGGAATATTAGTTAAAGGGTTTGTTTGTTTGTTTGTTGTTTTTTTTTCCCCGCCGTTATTGTGTTTATACGGATTTTCAGCGAATTTATCGCGGATAAAACGTCCGCGTCTAGGCGTACACGGTGATAAGGATATGTGATAAAAACACGTTCAATAATACATAATAATATAATATAAATGTAAATATGCAGGTATATTATAGTTCTGGCGCATTGCGACAAATTGAAATTGTAGTTTTGTAGATTTTTTTTTTTTTTTTTTACCGAGTATCGTATTCGGTTTTCGACTTAATTATTATCGCAATAAAAAAAAAAAAAAAAAACCCGACTATAATAATCATTTTAATTATACGCGCGTATTCGAAAATTGGCAATCGAAAAATACGCGATACATAATGCGTATGCGTATGATATTCTGTATAGTAGGTAATGTAATAAGTTTGGCAATCAAATTACCGATTTGGAGGACGTTAATTACCAAAGACGTATACGTTATAATACCCGCAACGCCATTATTATTATTAGGTACGTATTTTTTATGTTTTTCTATTTCGTCGATTTTAGGAAATTTAATCGAACGGTTTTCGTTTTTTTTTTTTTTATTCTTTTTAATCGTTGAGAAAATGTCGAAATATCACTGTTCGTAAAATTCCATTTCCCTCCCCCCCTTTGCTAACCCGTCGACAGCAATCGTTAACGTCGAATATTATCGTCGGATATTCGTGCGCCTACGCGATAATTCGTCAATAATAATACAATATTGGATACACGACGTGTATTGTTATACGTTTTTTAGCAACGTAATTTTTACGATGACGACGATTTTCCCGCATAACATTCTAAGACCGTTAATAGTATTAATACGCGAGTTTGAAAAATTGACCAGACGTTTTCGGGCACAAATGTTCCGCCTGTATTATCATAACTACATGGTCGGTATATACAATGCGATTTTACAATTGAATTCGAGCATTGGTGCAATGCTGCGCGGTGATAGATATTGCGGCGAGCGTTTCGAGACTTTATATCTACGGCCCCTAGTCGATTTTATAGGGGGGGGGGAAACGGAAAATTATCGAAAAAAATTACACGGGAAAATGTGTTATCAAAAAAAACACCCCCACACAATAATCGATTTAAGCCCAACTTCCTCGGGGCCGAAGTGACATAAGTGAGATGCATTACGTCTTGTGGTATTATTATGTGTGAAATATAAAATAAATGAATACCGTTGCGGTTTAACCGGGCGTTTTGTATATGCAATCCATGTACCGCGGTGTAGACGCGGTCCGGCGACACGTACCAGGAATACGAATAATATGTTTGGGTTTTCGAATTTTTTTGATTTTTTTTTTTTTTTTTTCAATATAAAGGCGAAAATCGCGGCGCGTAAAAAACTTTTATACGAAAAATCGCGAACAAAATACGAACCGAATGTACATTCGGTCTTCTCGTCGGCCGACAAAAGCCGAGTACAATTTATGCTGTCATAATTGTTATATTGCTATTATAACATTACGCCAATTATTAATATTATTATTATTTTTTTAATATTCGATTTTAAACCGCTCGCATTAACCGTGTGTCTTGTG